TGGCCTTCTAATTAGGAATTTCTCTCTATAAAATGTCTATTCAATTATCAAGTAGCAAAAAGTGCAAACCTCACCATATTTCTTTCACTCTCATTAGTGCCAAAGTTGATTCAACCAATCTGTTCTCTGCCAAACTGCATGGTTAGCCTCCAGATGTGCAGACTGGTTTTGATCAAAGCTTCTCTCTCTTGCTAAATGCTCAACAAACTCCTGTTTGCACCTCTGATCCTGTGCACATCAGGGCCACACACACAAGAGACACGAGCCCCAGAGAGTTTACCCATGAGAGCCCTTTAGTGCAGTGGCACGAGATTTCAAGGTGTCAGTCAGTGGCCACAAATAGAGAGCGCAAGAGCAGATAAGGGCTTCAAAGAGAGCAGAGGAAGAGGTCAGAGGTCAGACGGAGCATGTGTTAGTGTGATAAAAGCACAGCCTCAGAAATGAAGAGTGAAGGGAGAAGAAAAGTGAGACAGCAAAAGATGAATCTTTTTCCAAACCTAAGCTGCACTTACATAGCAAGAACCTTATCTTGACAGCACCCATCGATGACAGCTCCAGCTTCTCTGCTCCCTCCATCCCATCCTCCCATTCCATGTCTACCATCCAACCCCTGCCACGACCTACATGTCAACTCAATTTAGAAAATTGCCATTACAGAAAGCAGACCCCCTTTTCTACCAAACGACCCAGGCTCACGGCAGATAAATAGGCTTTTAAAGTGCATTAATGAGCGGATATGTCCAGCAATGGGAGCAACTCTACAGCCGACGTAAAACAAATGAGATTAAGAGATTCGATGATGGAATAAATATGTAATAGAAGGTGAACAGTGCTCTGTACCTTTCATTGCGCCTATGATTCCGGATGTTATTTGTTGAACAGATTATCTCCAGTAAAAGTCAGTATCCAAAACCAGAACACTTGAAAAAAAAAAAAGCATGAGGAAAGAAGAGATAGCATGAACATAGAAGACAAGGAAGCAGAAAGAGTGAGACTGCCACAGGGTAGGGCTGGAAGAGCTATCGGAGACATGAAGCCACTGACGGCTCACTAGTAACCACAGCCCACTAAACCACAGGGTGGGCTTGGCGGTGTCACCAGTGTTGGCCCATTAAGGCAGCAACAGGCACAGTTAGAGAGTCAGCCTGGCATCTGGGAGTGGGTCACCAAGAGACGAGACGTACACCTGCAGTGTGTCTGACAGCGCTAACGGACATTATGATGGATATGAATAGAAAATGGGAATCTGTCCTAATGAGGTCCGGCGAGGAATGATTCACCCAGCAGAGATAAGAATGGGAGGAATCCCTTTTTATTTCCTCCAGTGGCCCTGATGAGTCGAACAGAGGGACAGTAGAGCAGAAAAAAAAAAACAACAGCTCTGGAGCAGAACCACTTTCCCACATGGCTGAAGACCAACGGCAATAACGGACATAACCAATTGAGACAAACATGACAACCGTGTTCCTGCAGGGGATACGTTTGAGTGCTCCATCACCCCCTGTCTCTTTCTGCTGAATAATGATTAATGCCACAAAAAAATAAGCCCTAAAACTAAAGTTTGTGTGTGAAATTCAGTCTATTCTAGATAAGACTGTTAGATTTCTTTACTGGGCTGCACTACTCCAACTGTGTTATTCATTTATGCCTATATTAGGTTCATGGGGAGTCGAAATCACAAAAAGTCTCTTGCTTGCTTTTTACTCACAGTTCATTTTCATCTCTTTTTTCCACATAATTCAAGAAACTATGAAGTGCTATTTTGACCATTCATAATTAGAAGCTGGCAAGTAATACAAGCTGGTTTAACCTATAGGTGAGTTTAATTATAGCACTATAGCAATGAAAGCATGAAGAACAGCCCCTTAAGTATATTAACAGATTTTTATATAAACAGCAAACATGTTAACAACATTTACCTATTCACTCATTGGTCAGAAATGAGCCAACAAAAAAGTCACAGGCTGACATCTGAAACTTTAATGACCCTTACTGACCACATGTGGCAGCAAACACACCAACATGAGTCCAACTGTTTAGAGCATTTCAGACAAGTGTTTATTGTGAAGGAAAACATGCAAACTGAGCAGTTTATGGCCTCAGTGAGATTAAGCTGACCTCCGGTCCCAAGTGGAGAGAGACCCGAGGTAAGCCAATGTGGAACAGGCTCAATAAATGCAGAAAAAGGATTCATTAGAAGACATTTAAATCTGAGTGAGTATGAGTATTACTATTTATTTACTATCAGGTTTTGACATGAGTCCCTGTCGTAGGTTTAAATCAGAATAATAAGAGATAAAATGGTATCACTGATGTAAGGAGAAGTACATTTTTAATACAAGTACATGGAAACATGTGTACACACCTCCACACACACTTCTACCATCCCAGGCATCCCGTGCAAACACTTTCCTATAAAAGGCAAACTGTTAGCGCCAACATGGCAACAGACCAGCGACAATGATGAGCAGCACCAGGTGCAGGTGAATGTTCACATACGTCTGTCACCTCAGCACCGTTGGCCAGTCAGACTTCAGCACTTCATGATGACTCCTCTTCAAGTCATCGCCCGCGTCTGATCGGTGCTAACTGGCTTGTCAAGAGGGGCTGATAAACGACACCTGGAACCACCTGAAAACACAGTGACCTCACGCGCTCGGATACATGAACATCCCCTGTTTTAATCAGACATGGGACAAACCTATTTTTAATTCGATGATTAAACCCGTGTGGAGAACCAGATGAGAGGGTTTCCGATTCTAACACAGGACTCGCTGCATCAGGCTGCCAATCAGACATGACTGAGAGATTCGCATTTCAAATATCTGAAATGAAACAACTGACACATGCAGCCATTAAGTGCTGTGGTCTTTATGAGTCACTGCTCTCTGCGTGAGTCATTCATAAGGCAGGGGTTAGTGAAACACACTGGGGATTGGATGATGCAGTGTTTATTTGTGTTGGAGGTGTGTCAGTGTATGTATGGAAGTCGGGGGGGTTAAGGAGTAGGATGATGGTTTCACCAAACAATCAGAACATGTCAGCTAACTGTGTAAAGAGTTGGGCTTTAAAAGACTATATCTGATTTTACTTTTGTAACTCTTGCCAACTAATTTCATTAGTTATGATAACATGTACTAACTTAAACTGATTTTAGATGAGAGAGGGGGACGGACTGAAGTCAAACAAGTTGAACGGTCTTTACTTTTATTAAAATGTTTTTTACTTTTATTTAAAGAAAATGGTTGGAGCCTCTTTGCAAAACGGAACGCGGGATAATAATCATTTAATGTCGACTACTTTGTTTCCCACAGAGGCAGAAAAGCATCGACCATCTAGTTTGACGATGTTGTTTCTAGTTGTGGGAGTATCAGTTAGTGAGGTAGGAATAAACATGTTAATGGATGGATCAAAGTCCATTAGGGTTTCTATGTAGGCACTCTCACTCAATTGCTGACACAATTAGGCCACTCTAGCCTGTGTGTGTGTGTGTGTGTGTGTGTGTGTGTGTATACTTGGCAACACACCACCTATTGTGTCAACACAACCACTGCTGAGGTCTAATCTTTTTAACATCTGAAAGGTCATACAACACAAACAGGGAAGTTTGTACCTAAGTGCCAGGAATGGTGATTGATTATCAATATTAGACAATTGCTTTATCAGTAGGAATTACCTACAAAATACAATACATTTAATTATTCCTTTTACCTATGTTGCTCCTCATGCAGGTTTAGATGTTGCATTACAAATTTTAACTGGCTAATGTGCTTTCCATCACCCAGGTATCAATGCAGACAGGAAAGAATGTGAGTTCTGCAGACGGCAGGGTTGTTTGTGTGGCTGAGCTCCCCCTCAGCACAAAGTAATGTGGGGAGAGAACAAACGGACTCAGGAGACCAGCCAATAGCCAACAATAAAAAAACAAAGAGGCTGCTGGGTCTTTTTCCTCCAGGTCAGGAAAGAACCCATTGTGGTGCAGATCCAGATCAGGTGGCGGATCCAAGAATTATTATTTCAAAATGTCTAATGTTTTCCCAGGGAATAATGCATGGATCATGATGTGTGAAATCTTGACTAAACTAACTAGCTTGACTAAATTTAAGGGGACTGTTGGGCCTTGGCGGAGGTTTGTGCTCTAGTGAGAGCTGTAGTTTCATATATGATAATATGTTACAGGCAATGTTTTTTTGTAATATTTTTACCTTTTGAAGAAATATTTTGCTGACATTTATTTACCTTTCACTAAATGCACTACATACATTTTTATTGAACTGTGTTTTCTTCTGAACTGCTTCCCTTTACTGAAAGGGTTTCAGTAAATTCAACTTCAATAATTTGACCCAAAGTGCTATGAAATAGAAAAGTTCACTTTTTGCGACGAGGACTAACATGTGAAACAAAAATGTACACCAGACAATGTGTTACTTTTAGACTAAGAAAGATAAAAGTATGACCCGCTACTCATATTGTAAAAAAAAATACTACAACTACTAAAAATGCTAAAAGGCAGATAGAGAGAGACATCTTGTAAACATTTTTAAAAGTACTACCAAAATCAAAAAACTGCAGAAATATATAATGAAGAGAGGCCAGAACCATATTAAATGTATGTAAAACTATAATATCTGTATCACACAGACACAGACCAAACAAGAAGCTGTTACCATGGTGAGGAGTGTAAAGTTTGGCTTTTTCTGCACAGCCAGGGTCTGTTGTTGATTCACCTCATCATCGCTACACATGGTGTCATTGACAAAGAAAAACAGAGAGCGAAAGGTCAGCTCACATCCCAAGGAAGGAAAGGAAGTAAATAGTGTGTGTGTGTGTGTGTGTGTGTGTGTGTGTGTGTGTGTGTGTGTGTGTGTGTGTGTGCACAGGAACGTACAGTATGTTGGCTGTGGGTGATGGGTCATTCTTTCTCTCCCATGAAACCTTCGGACACTCTAACAGAGGAATCTTTTTGTGAGAAGAACCAGTTGACTAGCTGATGTACTTACGAGATGACCATTGAGACAGAAGACTTCAGTTTTCTTCCTCCAGTGTCCAGCTCCCGAACGTCGCCTGGTCCTGAAAACAAATCATTAACTTAGTCACTAAAGTGTGCTGGGAAGTTTAACTTCATTTTACAGCTTTGGTTTCCTTTTCCTGTTAAAAACACAATTTCACACCAGTCCACTTGTATATTTTCTATGTTCTTAGTCAGCAAAACACAAATAATTGAATTGACTGCATGAGACAATTGTATTTCTTGGACAGCATGTGACATTTTCAAAAACAAATCTGAAAGTACAAGGTAAAAGCAGACAATATAAACTGCTGGAGTGGATGCTCATTACATTCCACGTAAGCAATTCAAAGTGAGGCAACTAATACATTTGCACAACTTATTCACATGTCGAATGCCTGTCAATTAATCTGCCACAATGAAGCATTGTTTCTGTGACCCACATCGGCTTACCCAGCCTACACATAACCACGGTCTGTGAGGGAACCCAGCAGCTCTGCAGTACAATAATGATTAGAATATGTCTCAAATGCATCAGCCTCAGGAACTAGAGGACTAGAGAACTGACATATACACATATTTCTGCTGTTTATACCAGAGTTGCCTGTTCGATATTTCTGGGTGTAGTAGCTATTGGGGCATTCGATGTCAAATCATCTCACTTTCTCACACCGTCACAGGTCTTAATGAAAGCATGCTGATTTGATCATATATAGACACCCAGGGAATTGATATTGCATGTGACTTATATTGCAGTTAAGGGAGATATGGGCTGACGAAGTCTGAACTTTTTGGGGGAACACTGTGACTTTGACTGGCCACTTAATATAAGTGAGGAAACGGTTGTCATATAATTTGAGAGCATTTTTTCTGGTGCACATTTTATCTAAAATGTCTCTGATGACCAATTTAAAACAATAACAGCATTAGTGTTTATAATAGTTCACATTAAATGTTTTGCAAAACTATGTTTCAATGTTGAGCTGTTGATCAGCCTTTGCTTGTGCTATAAGACTTTGGAAAGACAGTCTGGTGCCATTTTTGAGGCAAAGGGTGGACACAGCATAGAGAGATGTGATTGTGGGGTTTTCTGTTTATTGCACCTTGTATGAAATTAACTGCTAAATATAAATATTCAGGGATATATATTTTGAAAGGATCCTCACATTAACTTTACTGCCTAAAGCTTCTTCACAGTACATCAAAATTGCAAATTACTTATGGTGATAACATGATTCAATTTTATTTGTATAGCGCCAAATCATAATTTACATTATCTCAAGGCACTTTACATAGAAGGTCAAGACCTTGAAATCTAAGAAGTATCTGAGAAGCAAAAAAGCCAGATGCTAAATGATTCTAGTCTTTCTGCATCGATCGAAGCCAGCTTCTTTTCCTTCTTGTTTTCCCTTTCCCTCTTTTGTGAAACAATGTCTTCAGCATTGGTTTCTTACAAACCACCATTGCTCAATGAGACATAAGGGTTGTGCAAACTGTACTTGAGACCCTCACATCTTCTTGCAGTTACTTCTAACTGCCAATAGAGGCTGATAACCCTCCTTGTGCCTATATTAGACAATTCAAAGAAGAGAAAAGAGATTGTGAGATAAAGTGGAAGCTGTTCTTACAAAGAACCTGCAGCAGATTCAGGTTGAGACCGTTGATTTAACAAGATACACACCTTAGACTACGGAGCCTCACAGATGCTTTTAAATTAGCAGGTCAGCAGATCTGTATGTGACGACGAGAAACCCAAAGGATAATCCAAAGCTTGTTTTCAAAAACTTGTGATGTCAAACCTATACTCGGGTGCACATCCAAAGAACACACAGCTTCTTAAAAGCATGCTGTTCCACCCCAGCTGTCTTTATATCGTCATGTGTTTCTGTGCCGTTTGTTCTCAAGTTGCAGGTTACAGAAATACCAAAGTGCAGAAAACATCCACTCCTAAATCCTTTCAGTGCAACATTTAGGGGATTTTGCTTTTGGTTTTCTAAACAGCACTGTCTGTAAGAACAAATCAGCTCTGACCCACAAGTTTTTGGGGGATTGATTTACTGGAACAAAAGAGGTGGGGTTGTTTTGAGGATTATAGAACTATAAATCATCCCTGTTTTGCATGTTTTCATGTTTGATGTCATGGCAACCAAGCCCACCCAAATCATACTTCCAACATGTGTCAGCTAATCATTAAACACTCAGACATAATGCACAACAAGAACCCCCCCCCCCTCCACCTATGTTCAGGTGGAGCTTTGTTTCACCACCAGCACTGAGCCGTGTCCCCCAGCAGGAGAGATGCACTGAGCATCTGCTTCCAATAGCTTCTTAACCTCCCCCCTTCCTCGTCCACTGAGGGGGTCTGTGGGAGGAGGTAGACCCATTGGACCTATCTGAAGACCAAGCCCCAGCTCTCTGGACCGGGGCCCCCAAAACAATGATGCAACACCCAACAGGCTTATGTAACTGACTTCTGCTGGCAGTTTCTCACTCTGAAACACAGAAGGTGGAGACCCTGGGAACACTCACAACAAATAATTACACTGGCCTCCTCTTGCATATTCATACAATGGAACAGTGGATGGATCATATTTAAGCACTGACACACCAAAGTAAAAAAAAATAATACTTTAAATAGCCTATGCATAGAGTTTTAAGTATGCACGCTGTCTTTGGTCACCAAAGCTTCACATTGACCATCAATGGTGTCTCTCAGTGTGATCTGGTCCTTTTTCTCCTGTCATGTTTCTAGTCCTTTCTACTGCATAAATGCTCAAGAGTTGTTTTATACATTCACTGAACTCTGGATAAACTCCTGATGTTGTCCAGAGCAACTGTATGTGAGAACGCAAATGTCCGAGTGAGAAGCTCCAGACTTTCACCCAGCCGACCCTGTGCAGAATGTCTGAATGAGCCCATGTGAGGATAAAGGAGGTCCTCGGGAAGATTCACTGTAAATGAGTGAGCATGTTAAAGATGTCCCAAACACACGGCAGATGAAAAATTAAAAAACAAAAAGAATACAAGGTAGAAGACAGCGACGTAGATGTCAAGACAGCTTTTGGTGATGAGGACCAACACTAGCGTCTATGTGCTGTAAACAAAAACACGTTATCTCCACAGTGGAATTATAACATAACGTTGTTCCTGCTGCTCCACCCCTCAACTGAACACTGAGATTTCAGTGTTGTTGAACGTGTCTGAGCAGAGAATCTCCAACTGTGTTTTTCATGTTTTAAAGGGAAACTCTGGAGAAAGTTGTTTTATTAGAAGGGCATCCTCCCAGCAGTGAATTATTCTTGTACATGGCACAATATGCACTTTATTTTTGTGCAATTTTAAATCAGTGGGTTCACTGTTCAGTGACACTATGCCATGTAAATATCTTTTTTAGAATAATGTGAAATGGAGCATTTTAATAAGGTAGTTTAAACAATTTCTCTGCAGTATCATATTGTATCAAATGATATTGTATTGCAAAATATCATGATATATCCCATTGTGACCATGATATGCATAGTATTGTGAGGTCCTTGCCAATACACAGCTCTAATGTAAACTGTCTACATGACGGCACCTAGTGTGCAGAAAATGATAAGCACTTGCTAAACTGTAAAACGTTTCATAAATTTCAGATAAAACAAAAACAATTTTATAAATAATACTGCTCACTCTACTTGCATAATAAGCTTTATTTTGATTGAACTATATTATAATGCTATTGCAGATAATTATATCGAGACAATTATATCCAATTATATCAATTAGATTCTATTATATCTGATCCACTGTGGTTAAACAGTAACAAAAATTGGCCTGCGGACCAAAAAATCAGTGGGAATGAACAAATTGTGAAGAGAACTGGCTTGATCGATCAAGAGCAGAAGTGTTGTCACGATCCGTGTGGGTTCACTGACCCTGGTGGAGAGGAATGGCTGCTAATTAGCTTCCTTATTCACTTCCAAGTATGGAGGAAAATCAGGAAAACAGCCTTTCTAATTAGCCATGGCTTGTTTATTTTGGCAGATTATAAACACAGGACCAACTGCCAAATAAGAAGGAGAGGAAAACACTTGAGCAGTGCATGCTGTATGTGGCTTGTTGTTTGTAGAAACTATTTTATATTATTAGACTAAATATGCACTGCATTTTTGTGCACTGTATAAACATCCAGTGCAATGATGAAAAGCCATCATAAAACGTGCAGTATCTACCCCACCAGACCCCTTAAGAAAAGGCGCATTTTAAAAGTTGCTTCGTCAATTATCACCGCTACAAAACATGTAAGCAGGAGTCTTAACGTGTAACAGGAGTCATCACCACCCTCTGCTAAATTCGGCTGCAAAAATAGTCCACTATGCAGCACTTCATTTTAAAATACCACCACTTTATAAAGACAACATTTTAAATGACAAGTTTAAAGATAAGTGATATTCCATCTGCTAAATAGTACTCGACAACACTCAATGATGACATTTTCTAAAGAAGTTTGGCACTGTGGTCCTCTCCCAGACCTCTACCACTGCCCTGTCCTCTTGCTGTGGTATTAGATGTCATGTCCTGTGTAACATTATACATATCTGGCTTGAGTCTTTGGTTTCACGAGTTTTAAAACCCCAAACTCATCGCTGCTCATTTTCTTTTCTATCCTGATTGAGGTGCTGTGAGCCGGTGTGGAGAGGATGGTGTCGCCTGAATTAGTCTCCACCTGCCGGAGGATGATGTCCTCACCTGGACGTGCAGGCTTACGCTAAAGTGTTAAAAAAAAACATTTTAAATATAGCGTCCGTAAACACCACCCGAGACCAAAAGCAAAGGGCTTTGTTGCAAGTTGCGTTCACGGACTTAAAACTTTATAAAAGTTCTTTTCTGCACCAAAATCCACCAGACTGAGAAAAAATGTCCTAATTCCACGTTAGAAAGCTGCGAGAGGTTTAAGTTCCCATGCACAGACATTCAGCCCCCCTCACTTACCGATGCTGTTCTGCAGGAGACCACTCGCTTCTAATGGCTGTTAACCACCGCACTCCTGTAGGATCCACACACGGACACGGACACGCACACTTTACTGTTACTCACGAAGACCCGCTGCTGCCCACCGAGGTCATGTGGTCCGCCGTTTGCGAAAACTCCGTCACACCAGCCGCAGCTTGAAAAGTGATGCGTGTCTATTTGTGGTGTTACGGTACGTGTGCTTGGAGCGTAAAATCAAGTTTGAGAGTTTATTATGGACGTTTGAGAAAATAGTAAAAAAAAAAAACATTTACTTTATGACATTCAAATCTGTTTTTATGAAATATTATTTGAACATATCCTGAACAAAGAATTTTCACCTCACTCTTGTTAAGGATGAACCCCACTGTCTGTGTTTTTAAAAGTAGTTTTTAAGTAATTTCACTACAGAAAAGTTTATAAAATTAAAAAGAAAGTCAAAAAGAAAGCAGTCTGTTAAATGCAGTGAATGATGCATTAATATTTTTATATTGTAATTTAGTAATTGAGTATGACTCACAGTCGACCAATTCACAGTTGTCCAAATGATCCCTCCTAGTTTCTTTTCCTGAGTTATTTCAGGCTTTTATTTTGAAGGCAAGTTAACGTTAGCATCGATATTCATATTCTTGTTGAACTCTTGTCTGGCTTGACTCAGCTCTTTCCTCTTCTGGGACTCATTACTTTCCTGTCAGATACATTGTATTGACCAGAAGTCACACAAAAGGCTCAGAATACATGAACATGTAATTTAATCTCTATAATAAATCAGCAAAGTGTACAGCAGGTCCTCTTTCCTCTCTCCTTATTGGAAAGAGCAACTTTCTCCTCATCTGTCTGTTATTATTCAATAGCCTGACAGTCATCTCTCTCTTATACACACACACACACACACACATTCAAAGGGTTTTTGTTGCACTGACTTATGGGGTCAGCCTCAATGTGATTGCCAATCAATTCCCAGTCCCACATATCCTGTCCATTAAAAACTAGCCCAGATAAACATTCACAGTTGGAGCTGCTCCCATCACCACTTCACTGGCTTTTAAAATGCAAAACACTGGTGGTGAACAGCTCGTCCTCGCTCACTGTCACACCCCTTTAGAGAGAAGAGGACACATCATTCACTTTCTATGTGAGTTGGTGCATAAGAAAGGTAACCATATGACTGTTTGACTGGCTCATCACCTCTGCTCTTAGTTCACTTTGCCTCCTTTGAATAGTCTCCGCAGTGGCAAGTTTTCATGTTGCTATGGGAAACAGGCCGGTGGCAAACAAATGAACCCTAACCACAGACAGAATGGCTGATGAGCCTGTAGTGAACATGAAACTCAGCAGCAGCCATATGGAAAACAGAGGGATGATTTACTTGGGAGGTGGGGACCTGTAGGTCGGCAACAAAGCCCACAAGTTTCACTCCATCCCTCCTCCACTGTCATGCCACTCTGAGTTATGCAGCATTCTGGCTGCAAATGTTTCCCCATCTTCACAATCCTATGTTAACCATGAAAGATAAAGCAGCCATTGTTGCTGAACAGTGCGTTCCATAAATGCCAGTATTTAGCTCAGATATGAAAGTTGTATAGTAGAGTGTAAGGGAGTGTAGACAGGCAGATCACAGACATGCCAAGTGACCTTCTGCTGCTATCAGGTGGTTTCTTATTGTTCCCTGAGTACAAAGACAGCACCACACCGAGCAGTCATATCAGTAAACTGAATGTATCATTGCAGACTGAAACGTAACAGTAAGATAGATGAAAATGTATTTTGCATTATTGTTCTATTTCCAAATCAGTGTTGGTGCCACTGAAAAAAGTAATCTATCACATATCTTCTTACAGTGGTACCTGGTTCAATATATTTAAAACTGATCTCCAAAAAGGTGAGTTTTGATTATGCTTCCTCTGCTTGTTACATTTCCTGTGCTCCCGCTTCAGCTCTTCTCCTCCTTTTTTTCCTTCTGCGCTTGGATTTTCTTTTGCAACAATTCAAAAGTCAAAATTCCCCAACCAAAAGAATGCCAGGTGGAGTAAAGCCAAATGAAATTGGCTGATAGAGTGGTAAAAATCATTGCAAAATCTGAATGTGAAACTAAACCACGTTCTGCTCTTAAACCGAAAGAGCAAGCTCTTGAATAAATAAAGGGAAAAAAGAACATACTTCTGGGCCACCCAGAAAATTGCATCAGGGAATATTTTTTAATCAACATTAAGAGAAAATATTATTAACCAATAGCTTTGCCAAGTCATACTAGG